GGGTTAGGACGGGGATAGTAAACAAGTGGATTATCTTATAATATTCGAATAGTGCTTGTGACAGTTATTGTGTTGACCATTGCTCTATGGCGTGACGCCATTGGCGTCTCAAGAGCTTCAACGACATCTCCATATGCATATCTCGCCTGGCAGACACTAACACCGTTAATAGGAGGGTCGCTCGGATTCGCGATGTTCCACCACTCGATGCGCCGAGGAACATCCTCACTCAAGCGATCCTGCAGATCATCATGATACAGAGGCGAGTTTCTCGAGAGGAGACAATCGTGAGCTTATAAGGCTGTGTCCAATGATACATACAGAGTCGAAATCCCCTACCGGATAAGGGGATTCCCCAACCGAAAATTCGAGCACCCGTCCGAGATGAAGTAACTCCCGGCATGGGATTAAGGAGGGGTTGACGGGGGGTTCGAGGACTCCCCTGAGGGGAGCTAGTATATCTATCAATGATTCAAATGATCCGCATACCATGAGAAAGCTACTCCAGGCCTCAGAGACCCCAGGCTGGAGTCCACGGGTAGCACCCGGGGTGCTGCACCCCTGATACAACGATTCAGTTACACTTCATTACTATCCCACCACAATTTATGCAACACAAGTCACGCTAGCTCGAACGGGAGATTTCATGCAGATCCATAGTAATTATTAGCAGCCAATCGTTAAGCAGCTTATGCAGCGACTCTTCTATTCGGCTTGGACAAAAAGGTCTTCGCCACATCTTTAACCAATGCGGTCACATCGTCCACGCAATCCAGTGATGGACCCTCGTGTCTTATCATTGCCAAGGCAGTGAGGTGTCGTGAACTCGTTCGCTGCCTAGCGGGCCCCGTCAGCCGCTTGGCCGTGCTGGAGCACCGCTCTGCTGTAGCTGAATTACAGGCAGTGATGATGGACAACCTCAGAAGCCGGACATGACACGGGAAAGCCTCGCATATAACCCTGTCTAAAGCGAGACGTTTGATGAGATCAGAATCGTCGTCAGTCCTTCCTGTCTCACAGCCACTGGAGACCAGCGTCGCCGATGCTACTCTCATGAGAGGCCCTGCCTCGTAATCGAAGTCTCGGATAGAATCCGAGTCCCATTTCAAAATTGAGGCCAAGTCCTTAGCCGCTTGGCCATTCCAATGAGGGCTATCACCGCGCACCGATCGGGCGATCTTCTGGACGCCCTCTGTAAGTTTGAGTATTGGGCCACCAAAGCCACTGCTGATTTCCATTCTCACCGAATGTTCGGTCGTTTCGACGGAGGTAACGCCACTGGGATTCGTGGGGCAATTCTCGGATACAGACGAT